CGAAAAGAAATTCTAGCAGAATTTGTCCCGACACTGCAAAATGCCAGAATAGGAAACGATGTGGAAAGAATGAAAAAGTTGAAACTGCATTGAAAGACTGAATGATCTCGGTTCGTGAGCACAACCAAACAGTTACAGGCCCGTTTCTAAAGAAGGCAGAAGCATTCGAGGAAGGATTTGGAAAAGCTTGTGCTGCCACAGAAGGACGGTTACGAAGATGAAAAAATAAACGTGCACATGACGAAAAGAGTTCTGCGGACAGAGCAGTCTGTGAAAATGGTCTGAAAGATCGACTACCCGAACTTTTAAATGCTTTTTATGATGACAAAGTGTACAATGCAGACGAAACAGGTCCTTTTTTACCGAACAACTACAGAATGATCTTGTGTTTTGCTGCCGACAAGCCCAGTATATCGAAAAAAAACCGTGGGTAGGATCACTTTTCTGTGCTGAGCGAATATATCTGGCACAGACAAAATAAATATAGTATTGGTCTAGAAAGTAAGAAAACACAATGTTTTACTGGCGTTAAGGCACTTACACTTCCTGTAACTTACAGAGCTAAAAAAATGCGTGGATGTCGAAAGAACTTTTCACCGAGAGGGTCCTCGAATGGGACAAGGAGCTAGATCAATGTGGCCGAAAAGTTAGGTTGCTCTTGGGTAATTGTACAGCGCATCCACAGGTAGAATGACTGAAAGGCATTCAAATAGATTCTTTGCAGACAAACAAAAGATTTTTCACACCGTGCACCAAAGTGTGATTATGGACCTCGGAAATGGTTACAGAAAGAATTGTGTACCGAATTCCTTATGGCATCGAAAACAACGTGTTATCTTGTTCATCGTCGACGGTGGATGTTAACTCCAAGATTACTGTGCGCAAAACGATTAAGTTGCTTTCAAAAATTGGGGACAGGTTACCGGTGCAACAATAAAAGCGTACTTTCGGCATACTGGCTGCAGTGGACTAGACTCCGATGCACCTTTTGATGACGCCGTCATCGCTGAAAACAAGATCAGCGCTTGCACCATCTCAGTCATGAATTGCAGTAGAGTGCGTCGCAATTGACAACGATGTGGAATGTACTCAGACCTGACGACTGTTGACGATGAAATCATCAGTAAAATGTTAGAAAACTGTCTAGAACAGAAAGAAGGCAGTAACTTAGAGAATGACGTGCCGGATGCCCTCGTGAGTAACAGCAATTAGCGCGCGTCGCATTCAAGAGCAAGTAACTGTATGAAAGATCTGTGTAGTTACGGACTTTTGCATGGGCAGTGCAACCATTGCTTACCCCAACTGGACTTCATCAGAGCAAAATTTACTGGGGCATCTGCACGAAATCACTTACAAAGGACCTTGGATTGTTCTCTCAACAAAACAATATACAGTAGCGCCAGTTGCTATGCCTATCCAGGTGTTGCATTGTGATACAACCTTTTAAATATAGATCATGCTCTTCTAAATAAACGTCTTTTGTAGGCCACATTTAAAGGTACATATTGTATCTTCCTTAGCACGTTACAATTCAAGTGCTATACTGTACAATAATTTTATGGTTGTTTCCCGTTTGGGAAAAATGGCAAAATCGGTTAATTGCCCACCCTGCTTTATTGACCACTTTCGGGATAACCTGATGGTGGGCCATAAATCGGGTTCGACAGTAGTAGTTTGTTTGCGTACCTAAATGGATGTGGATAGAAAAATATGAAGTAGAAGCCAATCGACGACTTTGTCAAGGGGAATAAAGGCCTCACTTCGAAAGCAGCGCCGTTCGGTGTCTGCCGACTGCCCCGCTGGGTCCGAAGGAGGATAAACACATTTGCTTGGATACGCTTGTTGACATGGCGAGGAGCCGGCTCCAGTGACGCTTGTGTCGTGAGTTGCTTTGTCTCCAGTCCTCCTTAGCTTCCTCTCCGAACAACCATCTCATATACAGTGCATGAGGTGATATCAAGCATTGTATTACAGGTTGCCTTAGTTTTTGTAGTCTGTAATTCGCCTAGCAAGTGTTCTCCCTATCCAAAGCCACAAATGTCCGTTTAACAACACTGCCACGTGGCGGATGTGACTTGCTACTGAATAAAGTCACTGCCCACAACAACATACTGGTAACTCGACTAGAGTCGTATTTCCAACTTTTCTCTACATGTACAAGAATAAGATACTCTCTGACTGCATCTGCCACTTTCAGTACACTTATATTGCCTTGACTGTTTTCACTACACACACTTGAACCCAAGGTTTCGTCATCCATTGAAGCATTTATTCCTTATGGTTAATTCTATTTCCGCAGCCTGTACAGATTTTGGCCACTGCCGATTACATACGTAACAACGTGGCTGTTGCAAAACATAACTGCCTGTAAATTTTGACCATGCCTGATTTGGTGTGCCTCGATGAATTCGAGAATAAGCTATGTATTTGTTTAGTTAGTTAATATTGTATCCATTATTATAGGTACACGAGCGTGGACACCGATCACTCCCTTGTTTGCGCCGATCTGTGGGTTCGTTTCAAAGAACGCCCTCAACAACGGTGAGAGTAAGGCATCTCGTTGCGAGGGACCTAAACCGAGTTCCAAGGCAAGACTGAGCAAATTACATTAGAGTCAACCCTAATTGTGTATCAACGACTAAGCCTGCTGAGTTCTACGAGAGCAAATATTTGTCGTATTGACATGCAGAGGCCGTTCGTTAATGGACAATTACTTGATTAAATTGAGGAAAATCAGTAAGGAAGAAGGCGGAAATGTCATCTCAAGGATTTACATTCAATTACTTCGCCACAATGACACCCATGAACCATGCTGAGCTTTATCATAACCAGCGATATTGCCAGGCATTCGGCTTATCCAGGTACTGTAGAGTATAAATGGAGAGCTCATTTTTGAGTGTCATAACGCAATTGGTACTCTTAGACCATAGCAGATGGATGTCTTTTCGCATGGAGTTTAAAACCTGTTGTCTTCACCACTTCCGATTTAGCTGTTTGTTTGGTCATGGAATCCAGTTCCGTCAAGCCAAACCGGGAGCCTCCAACCCTGTTATAGAGTTCATGTTCGACAATGGTCAGTGAAAATATGCTGTGTTCTCTGCACTGATTCAGACGGCCCTCTTACGTAACTGGCTGATGTGTTTAATAGTATTTGTTAACCTTACTACACAGTTCGATCACCTGAATCGAAAGCGCGTGCTAACTTTGTTCAACTGTCTACGCTGGTCGCCGCGTAACACAACTGGTGGAAGTAACTGATAACATTTATCACTTGACTGCTCACGTAACCAACAGATGTCTGATAGAACTTAGAATGGCATGAGGTTGTTTGGAATGGCCAAGCAGCATCAGTACATTTACTTACTCATCAAAAGATATGCCCAAACATGTGGTTCATACTCAGTTTGTCGACCCCCAAGCAGTTTTCTGAAATGAAAATAACCCTAAGATTTGTTTGGGCACAACCGTGAACTCGGTGACTTTAGAGGATAGTAGGTAAGCATCTCGACTCGCTGCGTAGTTCTACGTACCATAAGGTTAATGGATTCCTTTACCAACTTCAACAGGTCAGCCATGTATTGCAGTTACTCCATGAATCCACCGATGCGCTTGAGTATTGTTATTCGTTGCATCGGATGCTGATAGTACGCCGCTCGTTTTTTGCTTACTCGGCACCTGGCCATTCGCAGAGATGCAAGTTCGCAATGTTAAAATTAATGCAGCTTCAAAGACTCTCATGCATGAGTTCACCTTGAAAGAAGGGGTAACTCCTTCCCCAGATCGGGCCAAATAATGTCGAATCCAACTCTAGCGGTTCGGTAAAAGACTCTGGAATCAGAGGAGAAGCAGAAGCATGTTGCTTGTTTCCATCGGTAATCTGAAGTGTTACCTTACAGTAACTCCGTGGTTGGTTTTTGTGGAGCCATTTAGAGTAAAAACTGGGTTAAACCAGGTTAGCTTACTTAAGACAGAATGTCCGCGATGATATGCGGCCTGCTTACCCCACTGTGAATAAACTAAGCTTAACACGTAAAGGGATCAGCCTCCTCTGCAACACGGCACTGAGACACTTTGAACATGGCTAACTCAAGCAACTGGTTTAGAAGCCGTTTATAAACATGAGTATAACAGATACCATTAGTTTGTAAGCGAATGGCCGTAAGAATTCAGTCAAATCTTGGATTGTTTATAAAGGCCATGATTAGTATAAACCAGTGGTTCTTTAGCACTGATCTACAAGTCGAAAGTGGCGCTTGTGTATACGAACGCGACGGTTGGAGCGCGCACGGTAAGAACGAAAAGGGAATCCTGATAAAAACATGATGCACTCCGTAGCAGTTAGTCTAGTTGTATTCTGTTCATGCTGTAATGACCGCGTCTCTTTATTCTTAATCCCAAATCTATCCCGTTAGGTGGCAAAATTAAAAGCTTGTCATGCGCTCGAGTACAAGGACGTAGAGTGCTCATACATACAGTTGACTTGGACGCGGAAAGAAATAATCCATCAGTTGCTAGCCGGCTTGGATGACCAGCTTAATAAAAAGGTATCTCGCCCTGTTTTAATGCCAAATCCGGATACCAGTAGGGAGTCGTTATCCGTTACGTTTGTTATCCTGATTACACATGGACATATTTCTGCAAAACGAAACTATCGCCAGCATGCCTTGTAACTATTGATAGGGATTATGGGCTTACTCTTGATTTACATACGTCGCCACAAGCTATTACGCAACTTACCAGAGTGAACAACAACACGTGGCTGAGCTGCGTCCCTAAATCTTATGTTTTAAAAGCCTTACCGCAGTGTGCTCACTTGTATGCGGTGGGAACATGGGTGTGCTAGCTGCGGTTACTATCGCAAGACCGGGTATGACAAAAATGATCCACTTCTTACACAGCGTTTTCATTTGGCATGATTCTGAATCTAGTTTTGACAACATAATTGGGTCCCTCAAAGCACCAAGACTACGGAAACATGTATCATCTTTTCTTTATCACAGGTGATGCACTTTGTGACTTTTGGATCTGCTCCGATGTGCTCTGCTGTACTGCGTCCATACTACATCTGGTCGGGATCGCGCTGGATCGCTATTGGGCAGTGACTAATGCCGAGTACATTCGAAAACGTACAGCCCGGAGAATTATCCTGATGATAGCTATGTTTTGGCTCCTATCAGTCGCCATCTCCTTACCAGCCCGGTTGGACTTGACCAGATTGTACAATCTATTAAACTTCGTCAATCACACTCACAATGGCAGCCAGCAGCAATGTGTGATCAACCAAGATTACGGCTACACCATATTTTCCACTGTCGGTGCTTTCTACATGCCAATGATTTTTATGATAGGAATTTATGCCAGGATTTATCAAGTAGCGCGATCTAGAATAAGAAGATCGACTTTTCGAAGGCAATCTCATACACTGACTCCGAATCCGAATTCCCAAAAGTCTAATGCGCCGCCAGATGTTGAGGTACAATGCAACCTTGGTCTTTTTCGTCAGCTATGTGTGAATTGTGGGGTCTTAAAACAGTCCTTGTCTCCTAGCAGTGAACTAGCTACTGAAACCTTTGAGAAATGCTCTCACTCAGTGCCTATAAAGTCCAGTAAAGTCGGAAACATATTACTAAAAATAACTGCAAGGAAAAGCCAAGTGCCAAAACAGTATCTCTCTGATCTGGATAGGGGGGATGTACAGCATTCAATATTTCGATTACCGAAACATGTGGTAAAGGCGAGTCCTTATTGCGAGTTTTGCCCTAATGGACATCGGGCAGAATCAGATGTGGGATCTGGCACCAAAACGCTGATGGCAGAACTAGCAGTCTTGAAGACAGAAACACCCGAAACTTCGATTTTATCTATCTCCAAGCAAGAAGAACAGCTGAAACACCCACTAGGTTTTGCGAGCACATCATTTTGTCCTTACTTAGAAACAAGGTTACTGCGTTTCTATCGAAGTAATTCAGCACCAAGTGCTATGGATAACCTGTCAACATATTCGTCGACTTCCTCGAGTTCTTTCGGGTCAACCTTAACTCCAAGTTCCAAATCAGGAAGATCAGGTAGAGCGGAATGTTCTTCGTTGTACTCAGGGGATGTTGGTGGCCACAAGGTGGAGGGAAAACTGCATACATTTTTCATAAGGTTATTCAAAAGAAAGGCACGCAACACACCACCATCTCCCTCCTTGAACACCATATCGATGACACGTGAACGACAGGAAACCGATGCTTACTGTTTACATGGGCCAACTAAGATTATGAAAAGGTCGGCCTGCGAGCTAATGCGATCTGTAAACTGTGATGAATCACTTCCTTCTGGCAAACGAAAAGCATCAGGGCCACCAAAGGACAGCAAAACGACAAGAGATAAGGAAAGCATGAGTGGGCAACTGCTTCCGTCGCTGGACTCAATCAAACGCTTTAGTAATGCTGATGAAGATGCTGGGGACAATGTGTGTTTAAAGTCAAGGATGAAGTCGGTCGTATCAAATGTGGTTAAACTTGCAACTGTAGCTGCGATGGTCAGGCGAGAACGAATAGAAAACCAAAGAGAAAGAAAAGCCGCCGTCACGTTAGCCATCATAACTGGCTGTTTTATGCTTTGCTGGCTTCCTTTCTTCATTGTTGCTCTTATATCCCCTTTTTTCCCGGAGATAAAAGTTTCACAACTTGTGCGCGATATTTTGCTGTGGTTAGGCTACTCAAACTCGCTATTAAATCCCATTATCTACACCATATTTTCCCCTGATTTTCGGAACGCGTTTAGCAAAGTACTGTTTGGCCGCTATTATCGACATTCCATGGGCAGATGAGTTCTTGTAATAATATCGATATTTAATACTGTACTATGACTGTGAATCTTTTAACGCCTTACTTTCGCAACTCCGTGAACACAGTGTCATTCATGCTGTAAGCATGATGCTCTTTATGATAGGAATGCTTCTCACACGTTCTGTTTACATTGTGTGGATGGAAACTAAACTGTATGCTTACTTCATGCGCCTACCTGAACATTTGCGCGGAAGGTTTTGGAATGGGTGTTTGCATTGTCAAGTGACCCGTCTGAGTAGATCAGTTAATCACAAAAGATGCAGCTATAAGAAGTCAGTGCCTTCCAATGGCGCTAAAAGAAATGGGGCTATAAAGTGAACGCAATCGCACTCCGTTATTTTACACTGTTATTTTTAAAAAAATGTGTTTGTGGGAAAATAGTACAAATGAATGGGCAGCGTCACTTTTGAAAAGTCAGTTCAGGCCCATTAAGACTCTTAAAGAAGACGACCTGGAGGCGTACTCTTGCGAGTCACCATGGTTTCCCATCCAGCCTATGCTCAAAGTGCCCATTGTCCAGGGAAGGTTGAATTCAATTAGCAGTACCACGGCCTTACAAATCCAAGCGACAGTAAAAGCAGGATGAAACATAAGAGAACATGTGCTTGGACTAGGCGTAGCAGATTAATTTGTCCAACGGATCGATTCATAGTGCATACTATTTCTTCAGGATGAAACCGAACACTTGAACTAGCTTGCCTACCGGCATAGGGAGCGCGCTGCAGCCAAAGAAGGCGCGCCAATCGTCAGAGCAAACGCGGCAAATGGCAGTTTATTGTCTGGAAGAGCCTCTAAATGCCCTCAGTACGCGCAGAGAGCTCCCTCTGCCGGTTGGCGAGCAATTTCAGGGGTACCGTTGCATTTCGAACACATCAGTAATTCAGACCCGTACAGCAGATAACAGTGTCCTCAGCAGATTCAGTGTATCATCTACGTACTCAAACAGATCGATTTTTAGGTGATCTTGTAAGACACAGCCAACTTGCTGCTGAAACACGTGGCTATGGTGGGGCTAGTTTGTTTTAGATAACCTGTTACGGGTCAGCCTGGATGGTGTTTCCCACCTTAAAAGACAACCGACCAAGATAGTCTGAGCCACAGAAACAAGAGGACGAGAAATTGCATGTCGATCAAGCGTGGGAGGTTCCCTGGTCATCGGGACTGGTTTTTACCACTGGACTACCGGTGAGAACTGGGTCTGCACTTTGATTGCTGGGGAAGTGTGCCTGGAGGTTTGAGAAAGATGATGAGTTAGGCTTTCCGCAGCAATTTCACCCCTGCACGTCAGTTGTAAAAGAAGGAGGTTTTCGCTCGGTCTTCTTTGCTTCCGCTTAGCATCAATAAAAATTTGTGAGCAGCCACTTTCTTCCAGCGTCAGGCGTGTGTCGAAGTTCTTCGGAAAGCATGTCGTTCAGGTATATTCTTTCGGCTGGGAGCATTAAACTGAGGATGATGATCGATTTTCATCTGGTTGTTTCAACCTTCTTTATGCTCGTAAAAGAAGTTGATCCACGCCTTCCCTGGCCAGCTAGAATGAACCATGCTGAGGTCGACTACCACAGATCAAGCTGGGTACCATGCAATCGACCTGTCAGGCCAAAGGTCAACTTTTAGCCTCTCTTACTGAACAGCTAATTAACTATGTAATTTGAGCCAATGGGTCAATTTCAGTTCCTTATTTCACGCTTAAATATGATTGTAATGGTCTGAAGAGAGCCATCGAAAACAATTGTTCACCTATGGTTTCGTGTACTTTCTTAGATCTAGATGGAACAGAATGTAGTATTTCGTATATCGGATATACCAAGAATGTTTTATGCGCACAGCTATCTGGTCACTAAGTGATTATATCGAGAAAGGGGAAAGTACCATCGTCCTCCCATTCAGAGGTGAACTTCGACACTTTGTGCACAGAGTTGTAGACGCTACTGAGTTTCTCGATGTTTTGAGGGAAAAGGAGCAATAGAAAAATGCTGGCGACTTAACTGCGATAACAACTGCGGCTCATGAGGACGGCTTTTATCTTGAGATGTTCCAACATGCTGATGAACAGATCAGTCTGAGAAAGTCCAAGTGAATAGTTTGTACCGGAAGCAAGAATCAATATTAGACAAAATAGTTGTAGAATATGTACGGAAGCAACAATTCCTTCACGGCCACGGCGGGTATGCAAATAGCTCGGTTTTCATAACCCGGCACATTTGCAAAAAGTGATGTAACGTCGACAGAGCAGATGATGCTCAGACCACAGGTCATCCTCAGTCTCAGAAACTAACCCGCTGGCTCTGGGCAGCAACTTGAATCCTAATACGGTCCAGGAACTCGACCAACCACCAAGGTGCATACAGGCACTGTAAGTCATCATGTGAGAAATTGTTTGTATTGAAACGTCGAGCTTAGGGAAGTTGTAGAGCCTAGAAATCGAGGTGCCTGTGGGATTTATAATTTTACGGACACCGTCTCCGAGCTATTTGAGCTCGTTGCAGCTAGGACTTTCACTCTACTTTGTTCTATCCTTTGCACCCAATGCTTTTAAAAAATTTGCAACAGCTGTCAATATATCGTTCATCTATTGGGGTTAGTCGAATTTATTCCTGACAACTGTACATGCATCTGTATCGAGCGGTTAGTGTAACTTCTTCATCATAAACTACATGTGCTAATGCCTGATGTTGCTCATCCCACTGATGTGATATGCATTAAATGTGTTTGTTGACCATAGGCATACACCAGCTACAGCTTAATCTCTGCACTTCAGGGGAATGCGTTAAATGTGATCTCGGATTCTACAGGATTTTGAGATAAGCCTTATTTGCCAGTTTATTATCCCCACTATGGGGTCAGAACTCACAGCCAAATGGTAGAACCTCCACTGTGGCGATCTGAAGTGGCGAGCGAAGGTAGGTTTCAGCTCCAGCATTGCAACGCATCGCTAGTTTTGTTTCTCTCTGAGAGCAAATTACGCAGGTTGGCGCCTTGTTTTGCGATGATCTACTTAACCATCCTGTGTGGTCAAACATTTCCGGTTGTTCACGGATTACCATCCGCTATATGTTAGTATGCGCTCAGCCATTCATTCACGCATACTCGGGGTGCAGCGAAGCGGGGACACACAACGTGAGTCCCAGTATCGGTACATTACGTACGACACGAGATGAAATGTTGTGGCCACTCTGACGGTCAAGGTGTGAACCAGTTGTTTCCCTAGGCTGATCGGGACAAATCGCACTTCTGTAAATAGGGAAAGGCTAAATAGCGTCGACTGGTTGTGGGTGGATTGACGCACCGCAGATCGTGATGGGTGCCCATTGAAGCGGTGATTCACCGTAAGTGTGACTTTTCGACTTTTGGGGAGAATAACTCGGTTAGCTGTATGATAACAAGAAGACCATCTTTGTAGTTTAGCGTAACTAAGGATCCATTTGTTGACTGAACCTGTCTTCGCGTACTACGTGAAGTACTCAGAAAAAGTTCTGCAACTAGAGAAATAATCGTCCACATCGATAAACTAGGCTCTAACACTGTTCCCGCAACAACATGCAGAATCGGGCAGGTTTGTTCGAGTGACAATTGTGCTCCGAAGTTTATTTTTCCCATTGTGCCATTTCGCAATTTCAATGCTCTTGTTATAGAAGATCGGCAGTAAAAGGTGTCAGCAGTACGCCGGTACGCAATACAGACGCTTCGGTGTCGTGCAAACACCGCTGGTTGCGCGTAAACTAAGACTGCTGTGAGGGTCGCCCGGTCCTTTACGCGGGTTCGAACCCTCGAGCTTCAGATTACAATGTATGCTCATGATCATTTAGGTCACGGGCCGGCAAGATGCGCAATGGCGATTGTAAAATGGTGAAATTATACCCAGTCGGTTAAATGAAGCTTATATTGAACTGTATTTAACCACGGTTCCACGGCAATGATAACTACTGTGGTGCTCAACCAATGCCTCTGAAGGAGAGCACTTTTGGCTAGAGCTTATAAAAACTCAGGTGGTGAGTTAGAATACCATATGTTTCAACTAATCTCATCTAGACTCAGCTAGACAGTAATCACATGTCAAGTGAAGCACTGTAGGACCGTTTTATCCTTTCGGGAGCGCTTAGAAGTGCTCATCCTATCCGACTGCTGTGAGGCTAGAACCTGCAACTTGAATGTTTCCAGTCTGCGTCTGAGACCACTGGGCTACGAAGAACATTGTTCACCGTGGTGACCAAATTACTAGGTGTACTTTAGGGCCGCTCACAACCCATTGAGTTACACGTCACTGCTGGGCAGAGGATAGGGTAGTCCGCTCATCGAGCAAAGAACATACCAAACTTCGTCCTCCAATTGACTTGTGACAATATAAACTGTTTGGTCTGCATATTGGCGCTTAAGTTTTAAGATGCATATCTAAAGAATGCACCGGGAGAAATATACTACGCCTTTCCAATACGGCATGATATTCACCGTAGAATGGCGGCACTTCTAAGATATGGCCAGACACATAGATATGGGTAAATGATTCGTGAGGCCACCCTTCACAAGTGCACAGCTACCTTGAGTCATACCGGACTGGAACTAAACAGCTCACGTACCACATCAGACTCCGACGACTAGAAATGAACATCTGCTTCTTGGGCATATGCATCGTTACACACTGGCGTTATCCTCACGCTTAGGACTTATCGCATGTTTGATGGAAACCATTGTGATGGTGACCTGCAGCAGCCTGTTTTGAATGGGGAAGCTCACTTGACATGTGTGTATATGGCATGCACTGCGAGGCTAAGCCAGAAAGTAAGTTTTACTAGTGCATCGTTGAAAGGTTAGTCGTGCAAGGGTTCTGACTAGAGAAAGTATCCTACTGATGAGTTTAGTCATTTTCTAGCACATCTATGTGTATGTTTTAATTTACTCGGACTTCAAACAATCTACACAATGAACAACGATACCTCATAGGTAAAAAGCAGGTGTTTGACAAGTTCCGTATGAAGGCCGAGTG